AGGCTCAAAGAAGTTATCAACACCAAGAAGGCTGGGCTCAAAATTAAGCCCAGCAACAAACAAGAAATAAGTTGCCAATTGAAGAGGAGAAAAACCTTGGACTCGAAACCGAGTTCAAAGAGTAAATTTTTGGTTCAAAGCACGCCGAACAACCAAAACAAAAAGTTGCCAAACAAAAAGGAAAAATGGGCTCAAAATCAAGTCCAAGGAGGGGATGTCAGTTCAAACTAAAGCCCAACCTCAAAGACAACAACTGTCGAAACCATGAAGGAAACCATGGGCTAAAAATCGAGTTCAATGAAAGATACTGGGCTCAAAGGTGAACCCAATGTCAAGGGAACATCAGGCGACAGTTTTTCTTTGTCCGTTACAAGGTGTGTTTGAATTTATATTTTAAAGGTATTTTTGGAAAAAAATTATTTTTTATTTTAAATTAAAATTATTTTTTATTTTTTTAGATTAATTTGATGTGTTTATATCAAAAATATTTTTTAAAAAATAAGAAATATTTTTTTAATTTATTTAAAAGTAAAAAATATTTTAAAAAATAATTTTTTATACTTTTAAACATTTATATGAAAAAACCTCTATATAAACTACCGACCAAACCCAACCTCAAAAAAAAAAAAAAAAAAAAGCTTCCGAAAACCCATAAAAGGTTTCCGAGTTCGTCAACATTGATATTGTTAAATGCACAGAAAATATTAGCCATGCAAAAAGGATAAAAATGGATCTATATTATGAGATATCCATTTCGGTTGTTATTATTATTTTGATACCCAACCTCTTAAGGTTAAATTATATTAGTTTTATAAATTAACAAAATGTGCCGTCACATGATTGACTTCATCTTTAAAAGAGAGGCTACCATAATTGTTAAGTGTCAGGGGTAATATACTAATAACTAGCTTCCATTTTTCAGAGAGGCGCTTAGAGCAGAGAGATATCGAAGGTGGTCGCTCGTCTTTCTCCATTGAAGAATTCGCTTTCTTTGGTAAGTTTCGATTGCCTCTCCTCCTCCTCCTCCTTTTCCTTTTCTTGTGCTCCCTCTATCGCTCGCATAGACCCTGTCATCTTCCTCGTTAAATTCTTCTCTTTTGAAACTAGGGTTTTCGACAACTACAAATGGTTTTTTTAGCTTTTAATGTCCTCTAACCCTAATATCTCCTCGATCTGTCGTACTTTCCTAATTTCTTCTATGCTTTCTTTTTCATGTCTGGGTGTTGGCTTTTCTTGCAGGTTGCTTGATTTTTTTTTGTGCCCTAAAACATGGTAACAATCTCAACTGCTGGCTTTGGTTTCTCTTATATCTCCCGTCTTTCCCCTGCTTTCTCTGACACATTTGTTTTGTTTTGGGTTATCTGCAGCTTCCTCTTTCTCTACTTAAGACTGCTCAAGGCCACCCTATGGTAAGCAAGAGATCTCTGCTTTTCTTGTTGTGTTATTTGAATTTATGAGCCCAGAACTTTGTCAAAATTTGTAGACTTTGTTTTACGGCCTTTTCATTTTTTTTTGATGCAGCTTGTAATTCATGGTGCTTGTATGTTGTAACAGTTGGTGGAACTGAAAAATGGAGAGACTTATAATGGGCATTTGGTCAATTGTGATACTTGGATGAACATCCATCTCCGTGAAGTCATCTGCACCTCCAAGGTGCCAATATGTTTTCTTTTTAATTCTACTTTTGGTATTTTTGTTTTTGCAGAAACAGTGGTATTTTTTTTTATTTTGTTTTCTTTTTTTTGAGATTAACATATGGGTCTTGGGTTGGAATATGATGTAGGACGGAGATAGGTTTTGGCGAATGCCTGAATGCTACATTCGTGGGAATACTATTAAGTATCTTCGAGTTCCTGATGAGGTACCTATCATGTTTGGCTGTTTTTGAAGAATAATAGTGAAAAGGTGGTAAAACCACTAATAAAAACACACTGAACTGGTGTAAAAAATGTGGCATTTAACTGCTTTGCAAGATTTCCATCTAGCATTGTTGCTTCACAGGACCCTGATTTCAATATATTTGTGAAATTTGTTATTTGGGAGAGATTTTGATAAACTATTGCTTTGAAAAACTGATACGTGGTTCAATATCCTCTTTCTTGTGAATGTTTTGGTGATTATTTTGCTGATCCAATGATCTTGATTTGTGTTGTAGGTAATTGATAAAGTTCAAGAAGAAACCAAGAGTCGCTCAGGTATGGTTTATGTTTTCTCAATTATGGTCTATTATTATACTCTGAACATCAATGAATGATGGGGTATTGATCTTAAAATACGATATCTTTGAAGATTGTTCAGTTCAAAACCACTATACGTGTTACTTCTGTATTAAAATACGTAACCTTTAGCTGAGTGTGCGTGGATAATTGTACCGAGTAGTGTTGCAGTTAATCTTGTAGTTGTTTATACTACTTTATGCTCTGCCTTACGTTCTGTGTTATTTTGTGTTTTACAAATTCAGAAAAGCTGGAATTTTTAGTTTTGTTGGTTAATGGATTGGTTTAAATTTCTGCATTTGCATATTGAGAAATGCAGAACCTTGCATATTTAATTGATTGACATTTTTTTTTTTAGATCGGAAGCCACCAGGGGTAGGGCGTGGAAGAGGAAGAGGCAGAGAAGATGGTCCTGGTGGAAGGCCAGCAAAAGGGATCGGGCGTGGCCTTGCTGATGATGGGGGTCCTAAGGGCATGGGTGGTGGCCGTGGTAGAGGTGGTCCAGGTGGAAAGACTGGTGGGAGCAGAGGTAAGACTTGATTAGAGCGATGAAAAAGAACAGAATTATTCATAGTTTTTTCAAGTTAAAAGCACGCTTTTATGTAGGCCATCATATTATATTATCGCCTGTTATAAGTTGCTGGTATCGAAATTAAAAAACAGCTTTGTGATTAGACAACCTACCTCCTTTTTGTCATCACTATGTTTGGAACTGTGGATATTTTGGTCAGCATATGCATCACATTGTTGAAATCTTAATTTGAACAAATGCAAACATGTCATTCTACTTTTTGGTGACAGGTGCAGGGCGAGGCCGAGGGTAATGTGGGTGATGGTGCCCGATGATTTGGGCAAGTCTGCTACTTTTAGAGGACAGGTTCTGGGCGAGGCCGGGGTTAATGTGGGTGATGGTGCCCAGATGCTTTGGGCGAGTGTGCTACTTTTAGAGGCATTTTGCGCCCAGCTTTCCATGTGAAATGTTCTCTCCTTAGCATATTCCTGTTGAATGGTTGATTTCGAGTCCTGATGTAGGTACTACTTAGTATTACAGAGAAACAGCATTGAAGAGCTGTATTGTGAATTGCCTTTTCTGAACATGTCTTGCGTTGTTGGTTTGATCATTCACCAGTTAAGTCTCTGGTTTTTCTCTTAACTCTCTCTCTCTCTCTCTACACTGGATACTTGCCTGCTGATTGGTGGTTGTCACAGTTGTTTGTCTCACATGTATGTTGTTTTTTTTTAATTTTTTTTTGAAAATTTATTTTTAATACTAAATCTAAATAAAAAAATTTAATTTGAAGAACTTTTTCTTTAAATTTAACAAAAAGCTAGTTCAACCGCAGCCGCACATACCGCGTGGTAGCAATGCAATGCTATTGAACTAAAAACTTCACGCGGTAACGATGCCGTGTGCATGGATTGTAATGATAATTTTCTTTTTTATTTCTTACTTGGTTATCTTTTTTTTTCTTCAATTTTTTTATTATTTATTAAGAATTGAATTTTGATAGTTTATTTTAATTTGTTATTTATTAGATTATTATAATGTTATTAAAATATTTTTAATATTGGGTTGATGTTCTATTTCATATGGAAAAAAAAATATTAATTTTTACAAAAAATTGATACTAAAGGCATTGAAATTGAAAGTTAGGTTTTTAATACAGTCTTTTTTTGACATGGCTAAGGTCATTCTGGGAAATCAAATTTTTCTCAATTTTTATTTTAGTATTTTTAGTTAGAAACTTATATATTTTTGTCTAAAATTTTATTTTGTTCATATTTAAATCTAGGTTTAAGAGGAGAAAATTAATAAAAAAATAAAAGAGGAGAGAAAAATTCATATTCATATTCTAACAAAAAAAAATATAATTGTTATAAGTGTCATTATGTTCTATTCAATAAAAGGAGTGTTATTAGAGTATTTTTTTAAATATTTAATTTTTTGTAGATGGTCCAGTATGCTGGTCAATCTAAGCCTAATCATTTTACCTTTTTTTTCCTATTATAAAATAAATTAATTAAAAATATGTTTAGGATGTAGACCCTATGGTTTTTAAATATTAATTGGAACTCATTAAAATACATACATTAAAAAAATAGTCTTGGATATTATTTAATAAAATATCATTTGATTTGTTATTGGTTTTCTAATAAGATCAGGTGCTTTTCAATTTTTTCACCTTCAAGTTTTTGTTTTCCTTGCATTTCCATAAAAAGAAATGAGCATGTTAATTAGAATAAAAATGGTTTTAATTTGAGATATTTTTTTATTCTTATTTTAAATCATTCAATTTTTTTTGAGTATGTGTTTTGATTACTTTTGGTTTTTATTAAATGAACGACTTAGAACAAAAAATCATATATATGTTTTTCTGCTAGAATTAAAATTATTAACAAAAAAAGGTATGAATTATAGTAACAAACTAGTTATTGTTCCTGCTGCATGTAATATTTTTAATTGTGTTCTGACTATGTTTGGATAGAAGCATGATCATAAAGCAAAAGGCATAACAATACCTTTAAAAAAATTCATTAGGACGCAAAGTAAAGGGCGCCGCCGTTCAATTAATTTCATGTATATCTATTTTTATTATTATTTAATTAAATAAAAAATTGATTCCACACAATCAAATCAAAGGCCAAGTTGCATCGTCAAAGATCATACATGTACATATACATATACATATACATATACATATAGTTGTGGATTAAGGTGAAAAGAAAGACATTGCAACAATAATAAAAAAGAAAAAAAGAAACAGAAAACAAGAAATAGCGACATATGAGATCAAATGGACGGATTGAGTATGGCATTAAAAAGGAAGGCATTTTACTTTCCACAATTCAATAACGATGCATATAATGCACAGCAGACGCCATGATTTTCCTAAACTAGAAACCGAAAATACAAAGCTCAAAAAAGAGAGATAAAAGTTGAAAGGAACTAAAGAAAATGTAATATTTTGAGAAGGTACGGCAAGAAAAAACATACAGGCTCTCTAGTAAGGATTACGCCGTTTTTTCTTGCGAGCCTTTGGTGATTTCATAACCAACGCACTTGAAATCCAGGATTGATTTGTCCCAGTGGCATCGTCGGACAACCAGCAACATAATCGACCATCCTCACCACCTGTCCATCCAAATATGCCTCGGCTTTGCGCAGGTCCCCCCTTCATGCTTGACATGGGCAATACACTCCTGACAACACCTGTGTGCCCCCCTCCAAGAATTGCTTCTGGAGATCCAATCGCCCTTGCTCCTTTATAATTTACAGGAAAATAACCTAAAGCACCGGCATTAGTGCCACCTATTAACCATAAACTATCACCTTCTCCGGCGTAGTGGCAATCAACAAAATAATCAACCTGCCAAGACATCAGGGAAGTTTAAACCAAGAATCTGAATATGAACCATAATTAAAAAAAAAAAAAGATTATACCAAACATACTGCATGTATCCTGCTAATTCATAAATTAGATGAATCGTATATTCTGTCTTCTGGTCTATTTATTCCATCCTACATAGCATTGTCTATAAGAAGAAAAATTGTTGCTCGAGATGGAAGCCCAAGGACTCTTCAAACAGCAACTTAAACTTTAGCCTACATGTCTGTTAATATGGGAAGCCTAAGGACTCTTCAAACAGCAACCAAAAATTTCAAAACTTTTATCAGTCAGCACAGTACTGTCAATACGAGGACAGTAACCTAAACTTGAATACAGTCAATTACGTTGCTAATAAGCCATGGGTTGGGCAGTTCTTGACAGAGTACCATCATGTGTCACTGGTATCTTGGACAATTTAATATACCATAAGTGAGTCCGGGCTTCCATGATTGATGCTTACAACTCAATTGCACTTGTGCCATATTTGAGTTTTCTCAAATATTTTTGTCAGACAGTGGGAAAGTTAAGTGAGAAAATGATAATTAAGTTCTAAACCATTCTTGTTTGCTCTTGTAAGAGCTTCTTGTTCAAAAACATCAACTAAATACAGTAGTTTATGATACACCATACTTACAGAAAAGAGAAATTGCAAGTAAAGACAAGAAATACAGTTGCTCTGTAATCCACTAAATAAAGTGGATTCCATCACAAGGAAAAAACTTACATGGTCTAATGTCCAGCTGTCAGAGGCTAATGAGCGGGCTTCCAGAAAGTTTGCTTCATTTCTTGAATCCTTCCAATCCCAAATACTGCAGTTTCGGTTTTTAGAAAACAAAAGGTAATGCACATCAGAGTCAGGCTTAAACTATGGTTAACAAAAAGATTGTTTTTGAATGTAACATGCATGGTTACAAGAAACTCCTTTTCATTTTCTTTTTCCTGTGATTTTGCAAACCCCTACGGGGATGGTAACCATAAGTCACTAGCAGACTGCTGACTTCCATTTTTTACTGACATACATAGCAAAACCATCTTCCACTGTATCATACAGATCGAATAAATTCAACAGTACCTTAAACTTTCGATATATGTCAAACACCAGAGCTTCTGATATGTATCTCCAAAAAACCCCACTTTCCCGATTGAAGTTCCAACATTAATCACCTACAAGATTGTAAAAGTTCATCTGAAATATGTACAGGAAAGACTAGAAGCAGTTATGGGACTAGTTGAACTCTTATTACACAAGACATGTTAAACAGTTTTCAACCAGTCTGGAAAAAAGTCCGGTATTCTTGGACAAAGGATTAAGTATATACTTACAATATGGAAGAAACAGGCAGTACAAAATTAACTATCAGAGATCAGAAATTATTGTTATTGGAAGCAACAGTAAAATACACTCCTCTCAAAGAAATGATCCAAGTAATAAATAAGATCATTAACAAATTGAATGAATGTATTGCAACAAATATAATAAAAAACAGACAGAGGGAGACTAAAGGAACATTGCTAAAAAATCAGTTGCATATCCAAATGCAACCAAAGCTCTTCCATAAAAATTTTAAAAAACAAAAACAACAATTCAAGCATAGATCCTTTATAGCAGAGCTGCAGGCTAAAATAATGATTGAAAGACCATGTCCTGACTATCCTCTGAAAAACTGCGTCACATGCAGAAAAGGAAATGCACCTTTTTTCCGTCAAATCCAAAGAAAAAAGAAAGGATAAGTTATCAACCCGCCTACCAAAATGGCTTTTTTTTTTTTTTTTAAGTATGTTACAGTTACTATAAGTTTGATAGTAATGATATTCCAATGAATATGGTACCACTAAGAAGGCACTATCAGACATTTTTATTAAGTAGTTTAAGATGCTAAATCTCCAATAGACTTGAAAGAATGAAGCATATTTCACATGAAGACCATGCTCTATGGTACTTGATGTCCAACTCTAACAAGCAGCAATCATGTAGTTGCATTTTTTCAGTAATTGTTATTTAAATGGCCAAACAACTGCTTTGACAAGTCTGCCCATTTGGACCTAACAAAATACCTGACAATTCGTTTTTCTTTCAATGAACCCATACATATAAAATTAGGAATGATGTAAACAGTACAGAGAATTAAAAGCCTGCACTTACTGATTCCAGATCATCATCATCGTTGATATCCCCATCAGTATTAAATATACACATCAACCCATCAACAGAAGCTGAAAGAAGCTTGTTTCTATTGTCAGGGACAAAGTGAACCTATTAGAAGTCAGCAGGTTATGAACTTGACAAAATATAACAAAAACAAAATTCATGGATGAAAATAGGAATCCAGTAATAAAATGAACAATTACTCCAATTCCTAAACAGGAATACTGGCAGTCCAAAACATATAAACTTGAAAATCTTTACAGATATTTCAGTGAAAGATGACAGCGGGATTTCAGCTCAGCTCAATTGGACAATATAACACATGACAGAAAAATGCATAGAAGCCATTTCAAACAACACCATGATAGCGCCAAAAAGCTGGTGGTATAATCAAGTCCATGCACTACAGATGTATTCTGCAAACACAAAATAACCAAGCAGTGATAAACAGCTTCCTGTATGTTTTTCTTATCCCTAGAAATCCTAGCACATGACTGAATTTTCAAGTCTAATTTTATACTTTTTGAAGGCATTGTATTTTATATCTATTTTATATTGTTTAACTAATATAATTGGGCAGCCCAGGCAGTTGAAAAGAGCATTACGGCTTGGGATAAAATACCTACATTCCAGGTTACAAATGGCGACATAACAATGGGGATCCAGTCATGACCACCTTAGCACAAAGCAGAAAACAATGCATCACATACCGGGTGAAAGCCATTAAGTTTGGTGTATCCACCTACATGCATTTACATACTCTTCAACTTCAACCATTGACATTGCAACCTAAAATATAGGTTAAAATTCTAACACAACTTCATATTGGAAACCAACTTCCTAGTTAAATAGCAAATAATCATGAACAGCCACAATGTTAAACATTGTGCAATAAGAAATAAAACAAACTTCCTGTCAATTTGAAGAAAGAACGGGGAAAAAAAAACCTGAGTAACATCTTCAGTATGGGATTCCTCCAAACATGCAACTTGCTTCCCATTCCTCCAATCCCAGAAAAGTACCTGAATTACCAAGAAACCATATCCAAATCATCAAACAATTCATAATAAATTCAATTTAATTAGAGTTAAACGTACCAGTAAATTGAGAAATGAAACTGTTAGAACCTGAGACTTAGCGCCAGCAGCAAGAAGATTATCATTAGAACCTCCAAATGAAAAGCTGAAAATCTCTTGAGAAGAGCCGGAATCCATACATGAAACCTGCAAACAATCAATTCATTCACAGAGTACTCCCATATAAAAACATACAGAGGAAAATGAGAAAAAAGAAATAGGGAAAGTACCTGTTGGAAAGTTCTGGTGTCCCAAGCTCTGATAGTACCATCAGAAGAGCAAGAATGCAAAAGATGCGGAGACGATGAAACAGAGAATGCAATTTGATTGATAGTATCAGAGTGACCTTTACACTCTCCCTGGAACTGACCTGTCACTGGAGAATAAAGCTTCACTGCTTTTGTCGATAGCGACACCGCCACTGACGACCAGTCATCCTTTGGGACAATTTGGAAAACATAGTCGTTGCCGAAATTGGTTTGAATTGAGTTTTTTAGCCCGAATTTCTTTGATTTCGGTTTCTCAATCTCCATCTCTGTCGTTCCTTCCATCTTCGCTGTGCTCTGCGTCGGTCTGCTTATTTTGGAAACCAGAAAGAAACCTAGTGCAAGGATTTTAGGGTTTTAGGGTTTTAGGGCACAATCTTCTGCGCTCAGTGCTCGCCAAACTCCCGTACATATACTGCCATGTCATGCTCACAACAGTATTCAAGGTGTTTTTAAAAATAATTTTTATTTAAAAATATATTAAGATAGTATTTTTTAATTTTTTAATATATTTAAAAAAATAATTTTAAACAAAAATAATATTTTTTTTTAAATACTATTTAATACACAATTCTATCTATACAAATACACTATGAGATATGTTAATAATACCCTAACTTCCTAACTGTTAAGCTTCAGTCGCTATTAATTGAGATTACCACCACCATTATAAAAGAAAAAAAAAATTATAAATTTTATCATTCAATTTAAGACTATATAAACTTTATCATCCAATTTAAGACTAAGTAACATTAATAATGACATTCGATACTCCCTCACATGTTTGCTTGCTTCCATGCCATGAAGGCCCTCCATTCTTTTTTGAATTAAGACTCTAAAATCTAAGCTCTTGACTTCTTTTAATATTTAATTGGAATTATGAAAACACATACATTATCAATTATACATGTAGATATTAAAGTATACATACAAGTTGTATATAAATCATTTATATAAGGTCCACGCTTCCAAGGCAGGGAGGTTATGCTTCTATCTTACAATTATACATTAAAAAAATAGAAAAAAATAATAATGGCGACATGGACTCTAGGTTATCAGATATTCATGTGTTTGTGGTGACAATTCAGCGTATGACTGCCAGTTATTAACATCGACACGACCAGTCTGTTGTTGCCGTTCTGGTGCCCCATGTCGTCTCGATCAGGGACACGCTTCCATCTAATAAACAAGACAAGAGTGGAAAACAATCAAGGTGCAACGTCTCCCGCTTTTGGTTTTTTATGTGCAAATACAAGTACATGATGAGACTCCTCTTTGTGTATCGTATAATATATAGTTGTAGCTGTGAAGTCAAGTTTTCTGCCGCATGGTGCCAATCATGGCGGCTATGCGCGTGTCTTATTTTGTATTGTTCTGGAGTGAGGTTGGAATCTATATTTTTTAAAAAAGAAAAATTGAATTAATATTTTTTATTGTTTTAATATTAAATATATATATATATATATAAATTATTTTAATATATTTTCTTTAGATTAAGCATGTTGTGATAGAATGCGGGAATGGAAAACGATGAGAAAGACTTTCAAAATTATTTGAGGTTTTGTAATTATTATTATTATTATTATGGCTCGTTGGATGTTCAACATTCCTTGGTTATTTATAGATTACATCAATCTTAAAAAAAAAAAAAAGAAGCAGCAAATTATGAAAAGAATCCTAGTACTTATTAGAGATATTCCATGAGAGTTGACTTTTAGAATGTCTTAATCAAAAACTCTAATCATACCATCATCTCTTATTAATTTTATTTAATTATGCAATTGATCCTTATCACTCTTACCATGATCAGGACTGCCATGGTTCTCAAGGTTAAATTCTGGAAATTGCAGTTTTTTAATGTTGGCATCCCATTGGTTCCTTATTTAACTATTATTTCAAAACATGACATATATTCAACTTTTATAATAAATGCAACAATAATAAATTATTTTGAATTATTTCATTTTCTCCACAGCCTAAAATGAACAAATATTATAATATAGATTTTACTGGTATCCACACATTCAATAAAAATCTGAATCTAAATATCCAAACTCAAGATAATTATATTTTTTTTAATAAATAGGCATGTAATCTTTTATTTCTTACAAGTATCTTAATATTATTTTTATAATTTTAAGTGATCCAAAACTAAATAATTTTAGTACTTGCCTATTTTAATGACAAAATTAATGTGTGGCTTGGTATAAATATGAACATATATCAAACTTCTAATAATTGATGCATAAGAAATTTCTCTCATTTATTTATATTCTAGTTTATTCTTTAGGCATTGCATGAGATTAAATTTATTTATTTTTTTAATTGGAATAAGAACATTTATCCATTCTAAAACTCTATAAGAAATTATCATATATTTCTTCTTAGACAACCTAATAACTTTTTTGAACTATCTTGGAATTTTTCTATTCTAATAATATAAGTTGTATCTCTCATATATTTTAGATCAAAGTTATTAAAGAGAAATTTTCTCGTCTCCTATAATAAACCAAGATTATTTATTACAAAAAAATATTATCAATATACAAAATAAACAAAATTTTACCGACCTTAAATTATATGCACTGATCAATAATATTTTTCTTAAATATAAAGGAAACAATAGTATTATTAAACTCAATATATCATTGCTTGGAAACTTGTTTATATTGATTTCTTAAGTTTACATACTATGTACTTATTTTATTTAACTAAAAATCTTAATGGCCTATTCATATAGACTTTTTCTACTACATTCCCATTTAAATTTGTGATTTTCACCTCTATTTAATATAACTCTAAAGCATAATAAAATACTAAAACCATAGTAATTATAGGAAAAGTCTTTTATAGGAACCGATAAAGACATTTTTTTATAATCAATGTTAATTTTTTTAGTAACAAGTATGTCATTGTATTATTCAATGTTATCATTTGAATCTCGTTTGATCTTGAAGATCTATTTATATGTATTTTAAAATGTTCTCAAACTTCATCTTGTTTTATAGATTTTAGTTCATGTTTTATGATTTATGATGTTTGCCTATTTATTATAATTACCATTATTAATGGCACATGTAAATGAAACTAAATCATCATCATTTTTCAAGTCAAATTATAACTATTCTACATATGCAACATAATCGTTTAAAATATTAAACTTTCTTTGTCTTTGATATATTTCTAGTGCTATTTTTTATATATAGTTTATTTATTATAAGTTTATCAACAATATCTTTATTATAAATTATAGAATCACTTATATGAAATTGAATCATCATCATTTTTCAAGTCAAATTATAACTATTCTAGATATGCCACATAATCATTTAAAATATTAAACTTTCTTTGTTTTTGATATAATTCTAATTAATACTATTTTTTTATAGTTTATTTATTATAGGTTTATCAACAATATATTTATTATAAATTATAGAATCACTTATTTGTTGTGACTAATAATTGTTAAACTACTCAACAATTTAAGAACGACAATTTATGCAGAATTGAAAGTTAATAATGCATGCATATTTTGCTTGCTTTAACATTGAACCAGGAGCGCCCGTGTGATCAATCAAGCAAAAATGTCATGCGACATGTCTTGACAACTCAAATTTAATAATACACGCATTTTGTTTTTTACATTCAAATATAAATATAATATTCATGATCTTAGAACTTTATGGTTTACATATTTAAAAAAACATATACTTTGATACATAATAATTTGACGAAGAAAATTTACGATCAGATATCCTGCATTATCATCACTGTGCCTAGCAGAAACACTGTTGTTCCTGTTTCTTCCAAATAAAATGAGTTTCTAAACAGGTTTCCCAAAAACATGGACATTTTTCACATCCATACATCCCCGAAGAATTTACTCTACTCTGCATATCCCAATTTATAGATTTCAAACACATTTAGAAATGAAATAATCAAGAGTAAACACGTCGTCTTTTTAAAAAAATCATTGTTGTTTCTTTCACACGAGGATAAATTAAAGACAGTGGTGGTGGGGATGTCTTTCGTGTAAATTTTAAAAAAATATTCGGAAAAGAATGGAATCCAAAACACTGCATCTAATACCATGGCCGGCTTGTTATGCCATGATTGGACCAGTTTCATCTTGTCCTTTTGTTACTTTTTAGTTTAATTTAATATTCACGACACTAGTTCTGCTGCGAAGTATAACTGTCAGCGAACCCAAACTCAGTTTGGTTGTTTTTTTATGTCTCTCTCACTCTCACTCGTCCTAGTAGACTGTGGTTTACCTTACATTCCCCGGCACAGATTTCCCCGTCAGGAACCGGGATCCACGTTTCTGGTTGCGCAGCACCTGCAGCTTTTAAGCAAGTAATTTATTGCCCTTTCAGCTTTTATAGAAAACTAGATCATCTTTTTTGAAGGTTGTGTCTATATGTACATACATGCATACTGTTCAAGTTCATGAATTTTACTTGTCCTTGGCAACTTCAGTAGTATTCTGTTTCCATCTTCTCCAATCTCCATCGTTCTTCTTGTTTTCTTTATTGAGATATTGCAACTGATCCATCGCCGGCAACATCTACGGTCTGATACCTGCTCCTTAAATTAATAATACTGTTTTTTGTTTATCTTGATTTTATATAGTTTGCGTATCTCTTCCTCTCAAACTGCAATAAATTGCGGGTATCATTTTGTGTGTTGAGTTTATGATTTTCTTAGATCGCATTTAACTTAAGTTGCTGAGACCCCATATGCTAGCTCTCGAAGGCTTGGAAAGAAAAAGAAAAAGAAAAAACTCATCTTTCTATATTATTTATTGTGATCATTTTCTTCTTGAAGTGCTCATTTTTATCCGTGGCCCAGCTATGGCACCATAATTCCACGCTTCTAGTTCGGAACTCCTTTTTGGTGGGTCATTTCTTTTTAGTCCTCACTTACCGTTAAGTTTTCTGTTAACCATGCAGGGAGCAGGAGGGAGGAGATTGATCAGAGCATCGAGTGATTTTTCTGTGATTTTATTTGATTCACTTGAAGTTTAGGGAGCATGAGTTCTTCATCATGGATCAACTCTCTCTCATGCTCAAGCTCAGTGGTTCAGTCTTCAGGGGAAACATCTATTCCATTGATATTTCAATGGTTAAGATTCATTTTCCTTTCTCCATGTCCTCAAAGAGCTCTGTTATCTTCAGTTGACCTTTTGTTCTTGCTTTTCCTCCTCGGATTTGCGGCTCAAAAGCTGCATTCTAGATTCACTTCCAGTGGACACTCCGGCTCTGACATCAACTATCCCCTTGTTGGAAATGGAAACAGCAGAGCTCATATCACAACTTCTATTTGGTTTAAGCTCTCTTTGATTGTACCAGTCTTTTTAACTTTGTGTTACATTGTCGTCTCCATTCTAGCATTCAGTCAAAGCACTCAGTTGCCACAATGGAAGGTGCT